TCCGAGGTGTCACGCCCTCGGTGTCCGCGCCTGGACGGGCTTCGCCGCCTCCGCCGCTCCCGCTCGCTCCTGGACGGCCGCGTGCACGGCCTCCTGCCTCTTTGTCTCTCCGCGCCTTTGCCTGCCTCCTCCTCCTCCTCCTCCCCCCAAGCCAGCCTCGCCGAGCCCTAGGCGGCCGCTCCCCGAGCGCGTGGCGTGCTGCCTCCCTAGGATAGGTGGCTCCCCGCGCTCCAGGCAAGGGGGCGTCTGTTAGAGCAGTGCTTCGGTAGGTGGTAATAAAGTTAACCCTGTGAGTGTGAGCGTTAGTTAGACCCCGGGGCAGGGTTGGTGAGGTGTGAACCCCCAAACTGGAGTTAATCTCCAAGCATCCCCCCCGCACCCCATTTTTTGGAGCCCCGGTAGCGCAGTGGGTCAGCTCTCCGCTGCAAACAGAAAGGTGGGTTGTTAAAACAGACCCAGGCCCCACGAGAGAAAGGCCTGGCCACCTGCTAAAGGTGACAGCCAAGGACCCCCATGGGGCTGTTGTAGTAGGTCCTGTAGGGTCTCTGGGAGTAGGGATCCACCAGATGGCACACACCACCCCCTGCCTGCCTGCTCCCTGCAGCAGTCCCAGGCTCCTAGCTTTTCCGAGTTTTCATTCGAGGGGAGCGTTGCCAGTTTTATTAGAAATGCCCTTGGACTTTGGAGCGAGCTGTCTTGTTTTAGAGTAAAACTAGGTGTGACCAATGTCGTTTTGATAGATGAACTTGCTTACTCTGGAATAGGCATGAAATTATTAGTCTATGTATAACTTCCTTCCAAAAGTTTAGTGTGATTTGTTGTAAAGGAGAAGAAACACTTTAAAGCAGTGGTTCTCCGCCTTCCTCATGCCGCAACCATAACATTATTTTCGTTGCTACTTCATCACTGTCCTTTTGCTACTGTGATGAATCGGGTGACCCTGTGAAAGGATCGTTGGACCCCAGGTTGAGAACCGCTGCTTTAAAGTGTTTGTTTTGCTTTTAAGCTTACTTGACAGGTTGAGGATGGATAGTTGATGGAGGAGGTTTCCTGAAATTGTCATCGGTGAAATTAGATTGTGATTTTCTTGAACAGAAGGGTTCTGGTATTGTCTGTAGCATCTGGGGCCAAGATAGACACTAAGTGCATACTGAGTTATTGAAATATAAAAGAAGAAAAATAGTTGCTAGCAGTCAAATCACAAGCTTACTTCTGACATCAAATTGTGTAGTGCGTTACATATATTTTATAATGAAGGATGAAATACTTCCCTCAAAATACATATTATGGACAGTAAAGTAGTATCAGCACTTATTTTTCCATTGCTTACAATACAGGGAAAAGTAAAATTTTGACTCATTATTTCGTGCTTTTATTTTTATTTTTTTAATTGCCTACATTAAAGCAATATACTTTTAAGAAAGCAAATCTTTGTTGTGTCATTCTAACATTGAAATGTAAAGGGGGACATGCCACATAAGCCACAGATTAACTCTTAATGTTTAAGGCACATGTAAGAATCAGGTTAACAAGAAACAACCATATTCATTATTTTAACCAATGTTTGTTGAGCGCCTGTGCTATGCCTGGGATGGTTTAGGCACTGGAGATGCAGCGGTGAACCAGCCAGGAGAGAATTCTGCAGGAAACAAGCGTGACTGCTTCAAAACTTGGTCAGGCAGAAATGGCAGCAACATAAATAGATACATAGAGATATTAAGGCACCAGTGCTCAACTTTGCTAATGCTGCGACCCTTTAATACAGCTCCTCATGTTATGGTGACCTCCCCCCAACCATAACATTATTTTCATTGCTACTTCATAACTGTAATTTTGCCACTGCTATGAATCGGGCGACCTCTGTGAAAGGGTTGTTCAACCCCCAAGGGATCGTGATCCACAGGTTGAGAACCACTTTTTTAAGGCTTTGTGAATTAACCATCCAAATAGTTAACTTACTAATGAATACTGAATGTAACCTGTTAACTATTGTTGCCATTAACAGTTCCAACTTAACTCATGTGTGCACAAACTGCAAGGCTGTGATCTTTCAATGGCAGATCCCCAGGCCCAGCCTCTGTGTTGGGTTTGGAAAGCCATCCTTCCCGCGAGTAGATGAGTGCTTATCCACTTGTGCCACCCAGAAACTTGAACCTACCAGCTAGCTCACTGTAAAAAAACCACAGACTGAAGCGCTAGGCCTGTCTTTACTTAGGAAATTCACTGGGGAGGCAAACCTGTTCTTGTGTTTAGAGACCAGAAAGTCCAGGGATGGTGAGAGTAAAAGAACAAGAAACCCCCCCCAAGATGCGCTGCCTGTTAGTTGATTCCGACTAACTCAGTAAGACTGCCCTGTTTGGTTTACATGGCTGTAATTTTTATGGAAGCAGATTGCCACATGTTTCTCCCACAGCAGCTGGTGGTTTTAAACTGCCAACCTTTCCGTTAGTGCTTTGACCACACTGTACTACATGAGGGTTCCTCAAGAAACAGAAAGGGGGTGGCATTTGGAAGATTTTAACTAAGAATGCTAGGGTGTCACTTTTTTTTCCCCTGATTAGTTACGTCTAGGAAAATTGGTCAATCAGTTTATTTCTCAGTCATACTAACATAAGTGTACTTCTTATCTCTGCTAATTTAAACTCATCCTTAGAGTAGTGATGTCGTTATGGACCATATTACCCTGGTTTTAATTAGTCAAATTTTATTTTATGATTAAGAAAACAGATTCCTGTGTCTCCCATCAGGATTCTTGTTGGCATAGTGGTTAAGCGCTTGACTGCTAACAGAAAGGTAAGTGGTTCAAACCCACCACTGCTCCTCAGGAGAAAGATGTGCCCATTGGCTTCTGTAAAAGTTTGTATTCTCAGAAACCCTTTGGGATGCTCTTCTGTCCCAAGAGTTGTTGAGCTGGAATTCACAACGTTTTTTTTCCATTGGTATTTCCCTCTTTTTAGCCAGTGAGTACCACCTAAATGGCTGCTTATCTTAACTTTTTAAGTGTTTAGTGAGTGTAGAGTTTACTATATAAAGGTTTTGACACTTCTTTAACTATTACAGGAAAATATTTGTTTTTAAAGGTACCCATGAGCCGTGGGAGTTTTATTGATTTCAAAGTAGCATTTTATTCTAGAGAGTCTTATTATGGAATAAGACGGATGTGAGGGGCCCCAACCAAAAAAACCCTTAAAAAACAAACCCACTGTCATCAAGTTAATGCTGATTCATAGTGACCCTACAGGACAGGATAGAATTGACCCCGTGAATTTCTGAGACTGTTTACAGGAGTAGAAAGCCCCGTCTTTCCTTGGAGCTGTCTGGTGATTTTGAACTTTAGACCTTGCGGTTTGCAGCCCAGCACATAACCACTACATCGGCAGGGCTTCCAGATACATTCAGTCAGCTACCGAAACCCCTCTGGAGAGCAGTTGTACTCTTAACGCACATGGAGGTCTCCACAAAGTTATGTGTACATGGTTACTTTTTTAAAAGTTAGGGATGTTATTTTAACCTGGTGTGCTACTGGGTAAGCTTTGGGCTGATCTTTGCAAGGTTGTAAGTTCAAACCCACCAGTGCGCTGTGGGGCAAAGATGAGGCTGTCTGAGTCAAAAAACCAAAGCTGTGGGGTCATTGTGAGTCAATTCAGTGGCAGTGGGTTTAGGGGTATTGGTAATAAGTCTAAGTGCATTTTGCTATCCTGAATTTTTCTTCTCTCTTTTTTTTTTTTATCCTGAATTTTTTTTAACTGCTTTTCGATGCAGCCCATGGACAATTCACAAGTCTGGTGTTGTCCTTGTTATTCCCTTAAAAAGGATTCTTTCATTCTTTGTTTTTCATTTGCCCCATTGTTTAGAATTGTGGCTGACAAGTTTAAAATCCTTATATTCCTTAGTAGTTAGAACTTAAAGTAGAAGATAAATGACTAATTTATTATTCCCCAGTTTCTTGTTACTTGTTCATTACCTGTTCATTGTTCAGATATCTAAACCCTTAAATGATTATTTTCTTGTACTGAGAATTTTCTTACTCAACAACTCAAGTGCTATTGAGCCCCAGATGAGGCTTTGGGGATGAGGAGGTATAATGATCAGGTAAATGTGGGTGATTGCATGGGTTTTAATCTTTGGCTATTTAATCATTTACTTCTGTGCTAGTTTTGCTTATTAAAAACATGGCAATTAAGGTCTTAAAAGTATATTTCTATCCTCCTAGGTGTTGGTCTAGATTTGTTTCTCTGGTCTGGAGCCTCTTAGAATGTCATGATTGTTTTAGCAATACTTTTGCCCTTGTACTTTCTGTTTATAGAAAAATACATGGCTTGTCTAGCAGAGATGGCATTAATGTTACAATAACTGCATTGGCTCCTTTAAGAACAGTAACAATAAAAGTCTTCTCTCTTTAGTTAAACGGACCATTATCTCAATAGTGTGAGTAAACGCTCCATAATTCTCCTTAGCCCATCCTTTCTAAGTCCTGATGGCAGCAGGAGGGGAGTAGTAGGATCACGTACTAGCTTTCTTGCCTGTGTTGCCTTCGTTCGTGTGGAAGGTGCAAGAGCTGCTGTGGCTTGTGCACTTGTCTTAGTCGCTGCTTTAAATAGTCTGTTTTGATAGTGGTTTTTATGTTTTTGAGGAATATGTGATCAAGTGATCTGTCACTCATAAGTTTTATAGTTGTGTTTTTTGCCCTTTGGATCTATATTAAATTTAGATGTTTTTGTTAGTTTTGTTTCTGTTAATCTTCACACCAGGTCTTTTCTGTGCATTAGGTGACTCTTCACCACACTGAAACCATTAGGAAAAATCCTTGTGGTTAACAGCAGAGGCTTCAGAGTACACGCTGTACTGGAGCCTAGAAATTATTTTAAATGGCGACTGATACGTCTCAAGGTGAACTCGTCCATCCTAAGGCACTCCCACTTATAGTAGGAGCTCAGCTGATCCACGCGGACAAGTTAGGTGAGGTAGGAGCTGACACATTCTTGAAGCTCACTCTTGGATCAGTCCCTCACTTCAGATCCTGCTGGGTTCTTCTTGGTACTTGTTCCTTCCTTTACTTTGGGGAGCCTGGGTTACAAATCCGAAAAATCAAATAGATGTCAAAGTCCTTTCCATCTATCCTTTTCCCTCAATGGGGAATTCTTGAGAAAACCTCCAATCTTCTAAATTTACTGCAAATCAGTATAATTATTTGCTCCCATTTGAAATTGTAATTAAAATAAAGTACTTTGGAAAGTATTTCTTTAAAAACATTTCACCTCAAAGAATGTTTTAAACGTAAATTTCGTCCGATCCTGGAGTTGACTTGAAGAATCTCCTACATCTCCTGACACCCAGTTAGGCCCCTTGAGAAAGAGATTAGACAGTATTTGTATGCTTGTTTGATGATGACCATCTCTTCTCTTAGAAGGTAGAAGATAGCACCATGCCGATTCGACGAGCTGTGAATTCTACCCGGGAAACTCCACCAAAAAGCAAGCTTGCTGGTGGGGAGGAAGAAAAGCCAGGTACAGTAAAGCGGTAGTACATCTCAGAGCCAACATTGTTCATCCAATTTGGAATGCCCCATAAATCCCCTCGAAGTTCATTGTTTCATGGCTAAATGTAAGTATTTGGGGAATATCTAAGGAGAGAAGTCATGACTATTTCCAGACCAAGTAGGCAAAGTAAGGTTTCTTCTTGTTTCTCAAGATTTGGGGAGATGCAAATTTCATGTTCTTTGAATTAAAAACAAAACTGGTTGGCCAGATAAGGTGTAGTTGATGGGTAGCATTCTGTATTTAAGAGTCCCATAGAGATGGAGGCTTTATGGGAGGAAGAAGAAAGGAGCAACAGAGAACTAGTGGAAGAGTTTGACCTGAGTAGGAGGAACAAACGAGTGATCAGATACTGGTCTATAACTGGTGTTGGTACAGAGAAGAGTGGCCCGACATTGGAAACATAATCAAAGAGCATTACATACCCATCCCGTGGAATACTGGTGCTTATTTCTGACATCTCTAGTCACCTCTCCTTCTTGTGACCTCTTCATTTCTCTCCTTATTCTTGAACAGTTTGTCCTTCCTTGACTTTTATCTCAGGTTATACCACAGGGGTGCACACTATGCTTCAGGGTCTTGGCTGTTAAGAAACAAATATTGGCTGGTTAGCAGAGCTAAGCAATAGAATATGTGTCCCTCTGCTTTTTTCTTTTCTTTAAATGTTTTGTTTATGCTTCATTCCGTTCCAGGAAGGATTTAATAAGGCATACAATGTCATTTTTCCTCATAGCCCCTTTTCCTCACAGCCATGGGTGGTTTCGAACTGCTGACTTTGGGGTTAGCAGTGCAGTGTGTAACCACTACACCACCAGAGTTCCTTACAAGTTAAAAGTGGGGATCCATGCCAAAATGACACATTGAAATTTGTGGGAGTTTAAAAATTAACATTACAATGCGAACAGTTGACCATGCTGTCAACTATTCCACAGCAGCATTTTTTAATGAAAAGTTTTTGTTTTTTTTTTAATTTACCATTTTATTGGGAGCTCTTACAGGTATAACAATCCATAATTCAATTCAGATCAAGCATAATTGTACAATTGCTGTCGCCATCAGTTTCAACACGTTTTCTTTCTTCTTGAGCTCCTTGATATCAATTCCTCTTTATCCCCTCCTACCTTACCCCCTAAGAATCCTCATTATTATATGTTGTTATTTTATATATATATATATATATATATATATTAGCTTTATCTTACACCATTAATGGATCCGTTCACCTACAATGCTGTTGTTCATTCCCCTCGAGTTCTCTGCTACTTTTATCTTCAATTGCACCGGGGCAGACATTTAATAAATATACTTTCTCCAATCACATCTGCATTTTGTTTTTAAATCCTCAGATGAATTCTATACCCATATTTGGCCACTCTGGCCTATGGCAGGAGTGCTTTGGTGGTGTGGTGGGTTAAGTGTTAGATTGGGGTTTTGAATATGACAGCCACTCTGAGGGAGAAAGATGAAGCATTTGCTTCTCAAGATAAGAAGTCTCATGAACCTTGTGGAGCAGTTCTAGACTGTCCTAGTAAGCTGCTATGAGTTGCCATTGACTTGACGGCACTGGATTACGTGGTGGTAGCTTTTGGGGCTGGCAATTAGGGGACACAGGAACTGGCTTATAAAGAAGTAATAGATGCTGGTGAAGATTATCTAGTCCACCACTGGGACAAGCCATTTCATGACCCAGCTTAACCCATATTTAGCAGCCAGCCGAAGCTGCTAATTGTTAATAGTGTTTTATTACATTTATTACAAAATACATAATCAGAGGACAGAGAAGGGCTTAGGTATAACATTAGATTAGTCAACCAAGAATATATAAAAAATTTAAGGGTGTACATTTTGCAAAGAACAGTGACTTTACAGATGTTACACTGTGTATCCTAATGAACTGTTTTTAAGGGATCATGTAGTAAATACATTATCAGGTGCTACTGTATAGAAATACCACAAGTAGATGACTTTTAACAAATTTGTTCTCTCACAGTTAAGGCGTCTAGAAATCTGAACTCTGGGTCCAGTGCTTGCTTTCTGTTGGTTCTGGGGGGTGGTCCTTGTCTTCTTTCCATATTTGTGGGCTTGGTGTCTGTTGAAGTTCTCTGCGTCAATCTAAGAAATTGCATGCTCAGTTTTTATTATTTTCTCAGGTTTGTATGTTAAAGTATAAAATGGCTAGTGTCGTGATTATGAGTTTTTTCATTAATATTGCTCACTGCCACTGAGACCATTGTGATTCATAGCAACTCTATCTGTAGGACAGAGTAGAATAATTGCCCCTGTGATTTTTTGAGACTAAATCTTTACAGGAGTAGAAAGCCTCATCTTTCTCCTAAGGAGCGTGTGGTGGTTTCAAACTGCTGATCTTTCCCCCCTCATGGCACTGAGCTGGGAGTAGAGCTCTCAAGTGGAGTGAAATGAGATGATCTCCTTATTTTACATAATTGGGTAAACAACTACTAGAGTAGGCCACTTGAGTGACAAAAAGAATGAAAGAAAACCACACGTAATCATGCTCTTTGTTTCAGAACTCATGTTTAATTGAAACATTTAGCTGAGCAGTTCTAGTAAGATAAAACGTTTACCCTTTTGTTAACTTCAGCTACTTGATCCAATTCTGTTCACCTGATTTTTAGAGCCAGACGTAAGTTCTGAGGAATCTGCCTCAACTGTAGAAGAACAAGAAAATGAAACTCCACCTGCGACATCTAGTGAGACGGAACAGCCCA